TGAATATAGCAGGAACTTTAATGAACTTACTGATACTTCAAAATGGGCAGCACTGTCTTGTGACCTCACTGCTGCACGACCTTCAGTTCTGCCTACCCTAAATCCCATTTATACTGGACTGAGCTGTTCACTCTAGAAACAACCTGTTTATCTTCTCTGAAGAAGAGAAACAAGATATGCTTTCTAAATTGGAATTAAAAAAAAAATCCTGTTTTCCTTGTCAGTGGTAATTGAGGTGGAAGTGTTGGGCTTGTTTAAGTAACCTTTCCAAATTGCTAAATTTTTAAATGTGTTCGTATATTTTTTTTTTATCGTCATGTTGCATATTACCCATCTCCTTTTTTTCTTAATATTTTGTGCTGCTAGAGGAAAATGCATGAAAAATTAGGCTTTGAGCCTTAAATAGGAATTTTTAATACTGCCACAGTGCAAACGATATAATTGCTCTGTGGTGTTGGTAACAAAAGGCATTCCCAAAGGACGTATATATTCCAATCCATGCTGGGGTATCAGGGAAGTTCGCGTGTACCCAACTCTTAACAGTAATGCAAAGCCAAGAAGGTCAAATAACTTTCAGTCTTTGCAGAATGTGAGAAAATACTTGAATGTGCCATCACAGAATGAAGTAACAAATATTTTTTTAATGGTTATTTTCTCAAATTGTCTTTTCAGCTGCTGTGTATGACAGCCTTGTTGTGATAATGTAAATTTCCTGTTTGAACAGCTCTTCCAAACTGTGCCCGTTCACTAAAATAGTGATTTGACTTCCATTAAACACAATAGGTGGGTACTCAGACTAAATAGCAAAGTATTTTGAAACTTTGTCACCATGTGATCTGCATGGCAAAATAATGCTGTAAAGAAAAGCACTGAAAAACCAGCCGCATGTGCTCCAAGGAGGGAAGGAATGCTGTCAAGGGATTACAGTTGTTACAATTTCTAAGAGCTGTTTCAGTGTGTCAATAGGTGAGCATTGTTTCTGTCAGTAACTTAGGCAAAAGTTTGCTAAATTTTTTTCAGTGGCTACCAGAGCTTTTCTAATTAGAGCTGGAGCACTCTAGTGGGCACAATTCTGTGTCAGGTTTGAGTGCCTGAAAAAAATGACCAGGATGGTGAGGGCAATAACAAAGCAGGTTCAACTGAATGCATTTCAATCACTCACTATCATGACATAAAACCAGGCTCTCCTGATTTGCTCTCCTGAGCAGATTTTAACCAAGAAGCTTAAATAATACAAAAGACAACCCGGTGAATCCTCCTCATGCGTTGCAGAAGCTTGAAGGAGGAGGTGTAAGGTGGGTGTTCCGGAGGCCTTTCAGCAAGGGGTGCACAAGGGAGTGCTGGGGGTCAGCTGTGCTCCATCACTTAAGGACATTAGAGTTGCTGAGATGATACCTTCTATCTCAACCTGTCTCTTTTCTATTTGTGGAACTGCCTTTGCTTACCAAGTGCTTAAAATAAGGGTCTGGGTTTTGTGTGAATGCCTTTGTTGAGTTGCTAAAGCTGGGTAGCACATTCCTGCTGCTCATTAGGTGCTGTGCTGTTGACTCAGTTGTAATCACAAGACCAACATCTCCACTTGCACTCGTGTAGTCAATGGACTAGTCAATGGAAAAGTACAGGTATACCTGTGGACAGGGCTTGGCTTGATGTGTTAATTGTAAGGATCTCAGCTTGACTTTCATACCCCAAATTAATTTTGTAAGATTGACAGCTTGGGAAGAGTTTTACTTACAGCATCTAATAAGGACTCATTAATAAAAAAAACCCTAAACAGGGTTACCAGCTCACACTCTAGTAACACACAGCCCAATATCCTGTTTCTGGTGAGGGGAAATAGTGGCTGAAGAAGGGGTGCCCTGCTTGCTTGTGGTTTTTTATTTTAGGTGCAGTGGAGCTGGCATGTTGTTCTTCATAGCAGAATCTGAACTTTGGGGTTTAATTTCTGATAGGTTTTTTTTGTTTGTTTGTTCCAGAGCCTAGACAATTAAACCACTGTTTCCAAACACTCTGCCTTTCTACAGTTGATTTTGAAAGTGCTGTTATATCAGAATTCTTTTGAATGCTTGTTTTCTTTCACTTTTATCTAGAAATGTTTCATCGTTCTTTGTTTTGATGTGGTTTGTTTTCGTCATCTTTCACCCCTAATCCACTAAGGAACTAAATATTTAATGGAGTTTACACTGGAGGGCAAAGTCCTGGCACTTAAGAAGCTGATTTGAAAAAGCTGGTATATGCAATGCCCCATGTGACACGATGCTGGACACAGAGCATTGCAGAGCATGCAATGGAGGTTTCCTTCGGTCAGGTTCTCTTAATCAGCTGTTCGTGGCTTCTTGAAGGACTGACTGGGAGGTACCAGCAATGTCTGCCAGGTCAGTCAGCTGAAATAGCATAGTCTGCACTCAGAGCTGGCTGCTCCTGCCCTCCTCTGGAACCTTGACTAGCTTCCTGTGGTCTTGAAGCTGGCTGGCTCTTCCTGGCCATTCTGATGCATATTTTATAGTATACAAAGTATTTTGGGGTCACTTTGAATGGAAGAAAATGTCAAGCACTCAACTGTTCTTGTTGTTATAATAGTACATGGACATGTGGAAAACACTCTAAAATGGATCTGAGGACATGGGTACTCCTCCTTCAATGACTTTAAGTCCCACGGAAGACTTGATATATCGAGCTCCCTAGGTTTATACAGATGGAATGAGTCATGTCCTTTTCCAGCAGAGGAGTTCAATGCCAGAACTTGCCTCCCCAGCCCCTGTGCGAATATGGCAGTCCAGATCTACTGACTCATTTTACACTGTATGACCTTGCAAGATCTGTGTTTATTCAGCCTCAGGAAGCAATATAAGGGCAGTTTTTCAGCCTTGATTAAGTACAGAATGAGAAGGGGGAAGGGGTGTGTGTGTATGATAAATATGCAAAGTGTTGAAGAAATACTTTGAGTTATTGAAGGAAGTGAAGGCTCTAGATAATAAAAGGTAGCTGATACAAAACCTGTTGTTTAATGACCAGCTAAAGCAATATTTGCTTCACCATTCACCACCAGTTTGACAATAGAATTCTTTGTTGCTAATTTTAGTTTTGCCAAGATTCGCCTGCAGGGCTGTGGGTGGTCTGCATGCTGGAGAAAAAGAGCTTGTCAGATCCTCAGCAACGACTGGTTATGGAGCAATTCTGAGATCACTGTCTGAGAGCCCCCTGCAAGCTCCTACCTGCCCTCTCTAGTATGAAATAGCACTGTGTAATAAATCGCCTGCAGTAACAAGTTGAACAATGTAATTCAAACCTCAAATACCAAACTGTGGAACACAGTATTCCTGGAGCTGAAGTGCATGTCCAGGAAATGCATGCAGCAGTAATGTCTTGTATACGTAGACTCGAGTTTTCTTCTTTTTTCTCCAGTTTAATCCTGATGTACAGAACATTGTGAGCTGAAAATAATCTTCTTTATGTTCTCTGCTTACTGCATCAGGGTTTTTTTCCAAGATTCTGCTTTTGAATACAACTTTTTACATACACACATATATATATACACACACACAGATAGAGATTATTTTTTTCAATTAAAATAAATACATTGAGTTAATTTCTGCTTTATTTTAAGGCAAAATAATATTTTTTTTAATTACAAAGATTTCCATTGGTAACTTTTAAAATACTACATACCAGCAGCAAAAAAATACTCTTCTAAGTGTTCTATTAAACTTACTGTACTTACTTTAGGTGGACTGAAGAACAAACATACTGGGCCATGACTTATGCAGCCAGTTTCATCGTGGCTGACCGCTTTTTTCCCCAGAGGCAAAGGGTGTACAGTAGGAGCTATGTAGGTAACTTCCATATGGGTCACCCTGCTTTTGAAATCTCAGCCAGTATGTTTTTTCTTTATACACAATCAATTTTTCTAACTTCAAGTAGTGTTCAGTCACTTGTATTCTCATGATCTCTGCAGGACTGTTCTCTGGGTTGTCTCCTGTATGATGTCAGTTTCAATTCTTCCGTGTCTTGCTATTCCTTGCTAAAAATTATAAAATTAGCATAGAGATAAAGAAATTATTTGTTTGTTCCTTTTCCTTGGTGCATGAAAATGTGCCCCGTAATATTTGAGTCATTTGTCTTACTGACCTTTGCACTCTTTACATAGCAACAAGTGCTTTTGTTTATTTGTTATATTCTACGTTGTACTTCTTATCACAGCCATAGCTCTGCCCACATATATCACCTTAATTTTAGTAGAAGTCAGGGAATGCTAACAGTACAGCAAATTATTTCTGAGCAGCAGTGCTGTCTGAAATACTAATACTGGTTTATTTCATCAGGACAAAAGACAAAGTCTTCAAAAATGCAATAAACATCTAAGCTTGTATTCAGACACACAAAGGCACTCTGTTTCAGAGGTGCTCAGGAGGTACAAGAGGTCACTGCACAGTGCTCATGAATCAGACTGCCTTACGGAAAGCCTAGTTATGTACGGATTTAGGATATTAGGTTGAGAGTCTTGGTTTATATGTCCAGAGGTCACTGAAAGTAGAGCAGGCTTTTAGGTGCTCTGGTCCTTCTTCAGTAAAATAAATTTTTAGCAGAAGAAGTTACTGTAAGGTTTGTAAAAGTCTCCTTGTAATCTTAATATTCCACATGTTATACAGCATGCTGATCTGCAGAACTCCTCTGAGATGTGTTTTTTAGATGAGAAATTTTAAGGAAGTTGATTAGTCTGAAGTTTTGAGGGATGCTATTTTATAATTCTACTTCTCCCTCCCATGCAATACCTGATTTGTCATCATGTAGCTACTTATATTGGCCAGCGCATTCTGTGTAGGTTTTTCTCTACTAAATTCTGTGAAATTCTTTCAAGGTTTTTTTTAGGCATCCCTTTGTTTTACTTCCCAGGGGGCAGGTAATGTATAAGCCAGCTCACTGCTTAACTAATGTCTCACAGATAGGGAGGGAGGGAAAAAACAGGGTAGGGAGAGTACGTCACATTGAAGGAGGAGGGGAGCAAAGAAAAATGAGCTTTCTTAAACAAATCATGTGCAGAGGGACAGGCTGCCAGTGCTCAGGCAATCCTCAGCGGTGGCTCTGCTCTCTTCCCTGCTGGCCATGATGCAGGAAGAAACTGGAGTCCTGAAGGAGGGCTTCCTTGTCAAACGGGTAAGTGCTCCGGTTCCCCTTCGTGTGGTTCTACTCAAATGTGGAAGCAACCTCTGAGCAGGGACTGGATCAAGGCAGAACTCATGGCAAGGCAACCCGTTGGGTGCTGGGTTTGAGGGGCTCCTGCCTTCTCCTGGGAAAGGAGCTCCTTCAGATTTGTGCAGATGCCTGCCAGGGGAGCTGCATGAACTGCAGGTGTTCACTACCCACCCTCAAGTTTCCCTGTGTTGGCATTTACCCAGAGGAAAGTGAATTAGCTATCAGGATTGCTCAGGTGTTAGAAAGCCAACATGTCTGCACCTCGCCCACACCTCTGCAAAGAGCACATACGCGGCAGCAGCAGGAGCGACCATGGGAGGACTGAGAGAGGGGAGATGTTTTGACAGTCTCTTAAGATAGCTTGTGCCTTCTTTAGTGATCCAGCTGAGCGAGGTTTCCCATTTCATATGAGAGAATGGAGAATAGATTATCCTTTTTGAAGGGGCTCAGAGCAATGCAAACATAAAAATGCATTTGAAATAACTTCTTTCTTCCACGACCTCAAGCCAAAACGTGGTGAAAAGAGCTGAAAGATGGTGTCACAGATTTCAGCCTTCCCAATGTTTCTCCCAGTAAGATCAAGTCAGTTACAGCTGGGACACAAGAAGGCAATTTAGGAAGTGACACAAACTGCTCTTAGTACCATGACCCTGTCTCAATGATTAATATGGTCCTTGATTTCATACAAAATATGTGATTCAGAGGTTTGTTCAAAGCTTTGCCACGCCTTGGGAAATGCTTTTCTACAGTACGTGGCAGTGTTTCTGGTGCTAACATGAAGCTAATCCTGGTCAGGAGCTCTCCTGGCAGGGCTCCTAGCCAGTCAGGCAGCCAGTCACTGGCCACATGAAGCCATGCTCTATGTGGAGAAGGGGCTATTCCCCTTCCTCCCTTATGCAGAAAGGGCAGAGCAGTCCCAGCTCTTGGTCTCTTTTCTGAGCTATAGTTGTATTTTTTGGCTCTTAAGTGACTACTGAATTCAAGATGGGAAGCCAAGGCACCAAGTGCATGAGAGGAATAGGTTATCACAGCACACTAAACTGTGACTGCCAGCAGTCTGTACAACATCACTGAGACACACAGTTTGATAGGACAGACACCACAAAGAAAGCAACTAAGGGAACTGAGGGAGAAGGTCTCCAGGGATCCAGAGAGAAAAAAGGAGGAAGGGGTGGGATCAGGTAAAGAAAACAGAGCTTTCTTAAGAAGAGAGCAGAAGCCAGGAGATGATCTAAATGGATTATAAATTACTGAATTATGTATCGTAATGCATTATAAATACAAAATCAATGTGTGGAAGCCAGATAAAGATAAAGCAAAAAAAGTAAGTCAGCCTCTTGAAACAGCGAACATCTCCAAGAAGGAAAGAAAGGAGCCATAGCAAAGAACATGCAGGAAAAATGTCCAAAGGACTTTACAATACAGGATGCAAAGGGAAGGAGAACAAACCCAAATTAGATAAATTGTATTTAGTATAGACTAGAAGACGTTGGATCTAAAATGCCCTGGATTTTAGAGACTCGTTACCCCACCTTTACTTGGAAATTGCTGAGTTTCTCCTTCATTCACAGATAATTAATGAGCTTTGACTCCTGCCACAACTGGACCTTACATTTTCCTTTCTTCTATCCATGCCCACCCTCTACCAGGTGCCAGAGATTCTTCTACCCCATGCTTTGCCTGCTGACTGTAATATTCCACTGCCTGTAGAAACACAAGTCAGGTCCTCACACGGCAAAGCTGGACCTGACACCATCTGACAAGACTGAGCCTGCCAGTGCCAGCCCCCGCTGGTTTTGCTCATCCTTTAGCCAGACGAAACAGAGCTGGGGGCTGTTTACAGAGAGGAAATAAGAGGTTTCGTCTGTATTTTGATATAACTCAGGAGGCACTCAACAGCAGCCTTTATTCAGTCTTTTGTCGGTAAAAAACATTTCTTTTGCAGGAAACAGTAGCACATGGAATGTTTTAGCCCAGGAGATTGGAGGCAGGTAGGATAGAAATTAACTACTTATTAGGAGTAAGAGGGGAGGTAAGGAAAAGCTAATTCATCAAGCAAAGCATTTGAAAAACCACTTGGCATCTAGAGTCACAACAAAATGAAGAAAAAAAAGACTTCCCCTAGGGTCACTGTAAAAGAGGAATTGGTTGTCAAGAGCCCTCACACATCTTGTATTTAGCCCTGTTCCTGCCTGTACTGTCAGCAGACAGGTGTGTACCTAAATGACAGCTCTTTATAATTCATGTGAGTTTTGCAAGAAACAATTCTTGCCATCAAAGAAGTTTTCCTTGCTGAAAAAAGAGCAAAGCACTTTTCTATTGCTCTGGGATTTTATAGTGATGGAGCTGTTCTATTTTGTTACTAAAAACGTGTATTTCAGGGAGAACAGGACTCATGGTGACTTTTTGTGTTTCTTTTCATACAGTTTCTTTTTAGTTCATGGTATTTTCACAACAAAACAAAAAGAAGGGGAAAAAAAGAAAATATGGTAATTTCTCTATGCTTGTGTTAAAGTTTGCTATGTGCATTTCTTCCTTTCTAGGGGCATGTTGTTCGTAACTGGAAAGTGAGATGGTTTGTTCTGCTTCAGGATAAGCTGCTGTATTACAAAATTGAAGGAGGCAAGAAGGAGCCTTCTCCAAAGGGCAGGATCCTTTTGGATGGCTGCACTATTACCTGTCCATGCCTGGAATATGAGAACAGACCGGTATGACTGAAAATACGAATCTCTTCTCGATGTCACTCACTTTCTAACTTCTCACTAGTCTTTTCCTCTCCTTCTGACTTCTTTGATTACTGCAACCATACCACTGGGGTGCTTTCAGAATTTGGCCCAGCTAAAAGCAAGCTACCATTAGCAATGTAACCCAGACAGGCAATGAACCCCCTCTTTATGTCTTTGCTCTTCCCTGTGCCCAAATGTGAGTCACAGTCATTAACAAAATTAAAAAAAAAAATCACTATTCCTGTGCACACAGTTCATTGAAAAAATGCAAATGCATCAGCCCAACAGTGTGCGGAGAGAGGATATGAACAGTTCAATAAAAGCTGAGGATGGGGAAAAGGAGAAACATTATCTATGGTAGTTGCCTTAAAACATAGCTGTATCCATGGGGTGCCCCCAGGCTGGCAGATCAGACTCCCTTTTCCTTCATCAATGGCACATTGCTGCTGTAGAAATTCTACAGCAAGAGGGCTCTGGAATGTAAAGTACCTCCTGCGCTTCTCTGCTCGCCGTGGATAGCAGCAATACAGACTTCCTCTGCATGGGGCCAGAACGGAAATGACTGGAAGTTGCTGATTATTTCAGGACTTCTCATGACAGAAAGAGCCTAGAGATGGTTTGTAGTTGTTGAGACCTGGATGTAAAAAGCTCCACAGTCAGCAGCACACTCCAGTAATCCATTCTGTGGTCTGCTCTCTTAAGTACTGTGACCTCCATGGATGTGAACCATGCTTGGAATTGAAAATCCAGGGATTTGAGAGGGATGGTAACAAAAACACACAAAAAACCCCAAACCCAGAGTTGTGCCCACAATCCTTCTGAACAAGAATTGCCCTAAACTGCTCAGCTGGGATCAGACTTCTTTGTGTTTCTTTGGCCAGTGCTAAAAGAAGCAAAATGCAAGAGGAGGGAAATAGCTAAAACAATGTTATTGCTTTGCACTTCTTTCTCCACAGCTACTAATCAAACTAAAGACAAAAACCAATACAGACTATTTCCTTGAATGTTGCTCCAGGGAGGAGCGTGACTCCTGGGCTTTGGACATCACTGGAGCTATTCATGCTGGTCACCCAGTACAGGTACAAGAACTTCACAGAATGAAGAACTCTTTCAAACTGCTAGATAATATCAGCCTCCAGTAAGTGTATGCCATTTCTCCTTCTATTGCTCTAGTTCACAAAGCACCTGAGCTGGTGGATGGGGAGGGTCAAGGGAAGCTCCACTCCGCACTGATCCACTCCCATGTGACCAGGATGCTCTAAACTGGCTTCCCTGTCCTAGGTTTGCACATACTTTTGCCAGGGAATGCACATTTTCCTGACCATCATACTTTCGGGAGTATGTTGGGATTCTGCACCAACACCTCACTGCTGGCTTGGAGACCTCCCTAGTCAGCTGCAAATGTTCTCACTGGGGAGATGTATTACCTCAGAAGATGAATTATCAGGGAAAGACTGGGTAGTGACATTGTTCATGCCATGTTGGTGAGCTTTCAAAGCTGGTAGCTGGAATCCAGAGTAAGATTTCATGTTAAACAAGAGGAAATAGAGAACTGATTAGGAAATAGAAAAATTTCATTAATTTTATTTGTCTTGAGCAGGTAAATCAAGGCTGACTATAGATCAGTTTGAAGTACTTTAAATTGTACAATACTTTGTGAGGCATCTTGTTTAGTGCTGCTGTTGGGAGAATGCAGTTTTCCTAGAACTTATTTAGGACAAATATTCTGGGGGAGTACCTAGAATGCTTCTCATCTTTATATGGGTAATTATGAGGACACCCCAGGAGCTGACAGAAGTACATGGCAATTTCTGCCTGTCTTTCTCATCTACTGATGTGCTGTACTCTCGCTTACAGTGACATAGTGGAGAGAATGTATGACAGCAATACTGGAATTAAACTGACCCGCAACTTGGATCAAGGCAACAGATATAAAGAGACCTTCACAGGTACACCTACTGCAGGCAAAGAGCCACCTCACATCTGACATGCCACACTGTAGAGGCAAGGGAGCTACTATCCTGTCTTTCATAGTGGGATCGGTTGTGGCCCGGTGGTGCAGCCAAGCTCTCCAACACCTTTCTCTCTGGCTCTTTGGATATATGGAAGCGCTCATAGGACCCCACACAAGGTCAACCTCGCACTTCATTGACAGCCTTTGTGATGGTGTCAAAATGTTTCAGCAAGTGAAAACATGTGGCAGGAGACCATCTGCCTTGCCTCAGAAGAGCACACTGTGTTGGTATGAAAGCTGCCTTTCTTTCTGCAGGTTCTGCCCTGGTAGACTGGCTCATTTCCAATAGCTTTGCTGTGTCACGATTCGAGGCTGTCACCTTGGCATCCATGCTGATGGATGAGAACTTCATCAGGCCTGTGGGAACCCGCAGCACTGAGGCCATGCGCTTCAGCGACCCCTCTGAGAAATTCCTTGATGACTCCACCGCACTGTACATGTTTGTAAGTGATGCAGCTGCCAACAGAAGCACATCCTCTGCCCCCTGTCACATGCTTGATTTGGAACAGTGGTGAAGAGGACACATAGAGCTTGCAATCAAAGGCAAAATATGCAGGCTGAGAAAGTAAATATGCAGAAGGATCATCTCTAGGCTGTTAGTAGTACTAACACTGGCACATTTGCTGGAGGCAAGTAGCTACATGGTTATGGAGGGATCTACAAATTACATAATTGGGCATTTAAAGGGGTGTGTCCCTGGAGTGCAGTGCTGTGTCTGCATGTATCGGAGGCCATGCTGCAGTTCTGCTTCAACTCAGGGTCACAATGCATGTACACGTGCTTGTTAATCTTGGGACTACAAGGCTTAGCAGCAGAGCTATGGAGTAGAATTAGCTCAGGAAATATGGGCTAAAAACAGCTCAAGGAAAATAAAATGCAGAATTTTGTACTTAAAAGTGTGTTTAGATTAAAAAAAAAAAATGAAACCATCTTTACCCTATCTGCAGGCTGAGAACAGTAAGAAAAGTACCAGTTCCAAGGAAGAGGTACAATTTAACATCTCTGAATTAAGCGGCACAATTGTGAAGCAAGGATTCTTAGTGAAACAGGTAAGCACAGTCTTTGAACCTGCACTGGGAAACAGAAAAAATGACAGCTAGTAGGGTTTCTTAGAGAATAAATGTGATTTACACAAGCCAGGCTGAAGAGTGGTGGCCAGTAGAACTAGCTTGCCTGTCAGAACTACTACTAGAGATCATGCACTGAAGAGGATCTAGTTTTAAAGAAGTGAGGTATGGAACCTGCTGCTCAGGCAAGATTAATTGGATATTCTGTATATATTGAGTGTATACTGAAAGGTACAAAACAGTATCAGAAGCAAAAGTCCCACATAAACTCCAAATCATACCAGAGGCGTTACATTCACTTTGATGCAGAGCCACTGTTCCTCTGGTTTAACACGTCCCGTCTGGGTAGTGTGAGGAGTGACGATTCTTTGCTGGTCGCAGACAAATTTCAAAGCTGAGTAGTTTGACTTTTCTATGAAGTGGATATTTACCTGTGGGCAGTCACTCGTGTACATGTGGGTGCTCTGGTGGCAGTGAAATCTGTTGGCAATAATTGTTTAAAGGATTGGTCTGCAAGATTTAATTTCTGCCCCTTGCTGTGAACAAGATGAGAGGCAATCATGCTGTTTCAAAGCATAACACAGCCACTTGCAAATGGAACCCTACCTGCACTGTATGGCCAGATTCCTACTCTGGAGCTTTGTACCCAGAGCTCTGACTTTGGTGTTGTGCAAACTGGATCACCAGATGCTTCCCAACCCTCCGTTCTCCAGCTGCCAGCGTGCCACAAGGGTTGGTGGGGCACTGGGGGATCCTCACTGGGTTGGCAGGGCAGCCCCTCCATCACCACAGGACATGAGAGGTGTCCAGGAGCTTCTTCCCATGGTCAGCAGCAGCAAGGGGCAGCCCCCAGAACCTCAAAACCAAAGCTGCAAAAGGATCTGACATAATCCCTTCAGAGCAAACACGGCATGAGTTTTTAATCTGAGACCCATATTTAATATTAAAAGCAGAAATCAGGGATATATTCATTTGGTCCTGTCACTTTGCTTTCTTAGTTCTCAGCACAGGGAAGGAAGAGAGGAAGGAATTATCCATGTGTGAAGAAGGAAGATAAGCAGAAAATTCTGGGAACTACCAAGATGTCAGGAAAGATTTTTCTCTGTTGGCTCCAAAAGCTCTTTTTTTGGTACATATTTATGTCTCCCCTACAGCCTGCAGGAAAATGGCCATTTCAGGAGGTGGTAACTTTAATTCTTCCATTTTTCAGGGGCACAAGAGGAAAAACTGGAAGGTGAGGAGATTTGTTTTGAGAGCCGATCCTGCTTTTTTGCACTACTATGACCCCACTAAGGTACGTGAGTGGGAAGTTACCACCCCTAGAAATCCTCTTGAAGACCTAAATATTATAATAAAAATACAGTTATGCTGTAAATATTTCTCTTCCTGGGTTCCTCTGTCCATTTCCTGGAGAATTAGACCTCTCTGGCCTTACCCTAGGAGACTGACCTTGTAGGATTTTGTATCTTGCATCTTCCTTCCTGTCTTTTTCACAGTGAGATTCCTTTTCTTTAGCCAAGGGGCAAAAGTCTTCTTGTAATTGGTCTTTTGCTGCACCCACACAGTCTGGGACCATGGTCCTGCAGGGATTCTTCCTGGGATGTGATCTTTCTGGGCTGATATCCCACCACTTGAGGGTCACACTGGTACTGGGATTTTTTACATTCTTATTCTAACATTGAATAAGGTCTCCTTGATGACAAAGTATTTATAGGAATTTCTACTACTCAGTTTTAAACTTGCTCATGGAATAGTAGAATTTATTTTCATGGATATAACAATCAATATGAGCAACCCAGATGCATAGGGTACTACACTGCCTGTTCCTTTGTGGGTTTTTTTTCCACTGGAACTCATCCTTATCGTACTATAAACTCAAACTGCAGAACCTGAAGACAAGAAACAAGAGCACCAGCCAACTAGCGAAAACAGTCAGATTTTTCCCATACAGTCTCACAAAAAGCAGCAAGCTAAAAACTTGCAGAAATATATATATAATATTCAATGTGTATTGTTGATAAAACTATACATAAATTTGAAACGTGATTGCCTACCCTCGTGTTTTTAACTGATCTCCCCCATGCCCAGCTACATCAGAAAAACATCTACGATTAAAACAATATAGTAATGCTTTTAATTATATGTTCTAATTGACTTCTTTTGTGACATGGATGTGTCATACGTGGAAGGACTGGCATTACATCCCCAACTTCCTAAAAATAATGTATGTGCTCTGGGAAGTTATTCTAATGATATTTTCTAGCTAAGTCTTGTTTCCCTTTTCTTTGCAGGAAGAAAACAAGCCAGTCGGTGGATTCTCCCTCCGAGGCTGTCTTGTCTCAGCTCTAGAGGACAACGGAGTCCCAGCAGGTAAGCACAAGCCTCTAAACTTTTGTACATACATATTTGTGATACAGCAATACAGTCTTTAGGTATGTTTTTTTGTGTATGGCTGTTTGTATGCACAAGTGTGCTGGCCCTTCATTTCCCTTCACAAGCAGGAGAAGAGGCATGTCACAAATCCCTGTGCTGCTGGGTTGTCCACACCAAAGGGGACTTTTTTTAGCATTATTTCCACATACTTTGGGTGTTTCCAAGGTTTTATGGGCTTTTTATGGGCTTTTCTTAGTTATATGACCTCTGAGACAGTCCTAAGACATTGATTAATATTTCAGAGTTAACAAACAAAGAGGAAACACCTTCATTTTGGATGTTGTTTAACTCAAAGTTTTGAGGCATCCTCTGATGCCATCGCTTTTCTGCATGTCCTCTCTGCTTATGCTATTACCTCTTCCTTTTTGATCTGCTAGAATCCAAATGTAGGGGAGACATAAACACAGCAATACAAAAAACAGTTCTGCGAGAGCATATGCTTAGCTTAGGCAGTTGTTTAAAACCTTGGCCTCGCAGATGAGTGTTTCTGCTGTGAAAGCAATTTATTTTATGAGAGCAAGAACAATATGCGGATCTCAAATATTGAACATCTTTTAAAGAGAAGGTCTAAAAAAGCTTTGGTCTGGAGCAGGGGGGCATGATAGACAATAGATTTCCCTGCTAGGAGGAACCCAAATATGGGCAGGAGCAAATCTATCTACTGTACAAACTGCTAGGGAGTTCATCCCTCCAGTGTATAACTCGAGTAATAGTCTCCATCTAAAGAGAGACTACTATACATATGTTGCCTAGTGCACAGTAGTTCATACAATCTATGGCAGGAACGTCTGTACTATATCTTTATTTTCATGGAATCACAGAATCATCAAAGGGTTGGGGTTGGAAGGACCCCAGCAATCATCTTGTTCCAACTCCCCTGCCACGGACAAGCTCATCTTCCTCTAAAGCAGTTTGCTCAAAGCCCTATCCAACCTGGCCTTGAACACTTCCAGGGATTTTGCAGAAAGAAAATCAAAGATGCAAGAGCTTTAGAGGTCTTATCCATAACAAAAAGAAAATATTTGATTGTGTAATTCACTAAATTTAAATTCTTCCCTATGAAACTTCATATTTGCCAGAAAACCTTTCTCTGCGTACTGTCCTGATTTTTTTTTTCTCTGCAGGAGTGAAGGGCAATGTGCAAGGCAATCTCTTCAAAATCATCACCAAAAATGACATTCATTATTATATCCAGGCCAGCTCCAAGGCTGAGCGAGTGCAGTGGATTGAGGCAATCAAACCACTGACATGAGTAACGTGGACTCCATGCCAAATGACAAATCACATTTGTGACCAAGTTTTCTGCTCTCATTTTCTGGGAGTATTGTTATCACCTTGATAGTCTATTTCTGTTATTTGAATTATCATAACACTTAGCAATTCCTGGTAGACCAGCATCCTAGGTGTCTTAAAGTCATATAGACCGAGAATAATTCTCCACCAAGAATTTACCGTCTAACGAAGAGACAAAAGACAATAGGTGGATACAGACAAATGGGGCTTTACAATGAAATGATGAGATACAATATTCCAAGATAGAAGAAAAGAATCTTTTGTACAAGTATTCAGTTTATACCTGACAGATCCACATTGTGCTTTATCTTAAAGCAGAAATATCTTGCTCATTTCCCCTCTATAAAGGGGCTCATAAATTAATTAGTTAAGACTGAAACATCAAAGTCATGAAAGGTGCTGATGTCTGAGGCTGCCTTTCTTGGTATACCACACGAATCTTGTGCTAAGCCACAATCCAGCTGCCAGGATAATCAGTACTGCAAAACAAACAAGGGATCTGTCTGTCCATCCATCTGCTTTACTGTTTGGCTCTCTGTTAGACTTGAAAAAACCCAAAGCATCTTCCTCTCCACTGTATAGATTGCTCTTGTGCTGCTAATGATACCAGAGCAGTACAAGATCCTGAGTATCAAATCAGACCAGTAGCAGTTCCAGACAATTGCTGGTACTGAATATATTGGAAGAAATCACTTAGCTATAAAAGCGAGACTTTTCCTTTGATTATCATCATAAGTTCATTTATGTTGGAGAACCATTTGGACTGAGAATTACAGTACCAGATATGGCTATTGCTTTTTCTATCTTAGGTCATTAGTTCTTCCAGTATTTGTCTACTAAACTTGTCTTTGATATCATTAAATATTAAAAAAAACCCCAAACCCCAAAACCAGTGCATTTGAATATCCTGTGCTCTTTAGAGACATGATTTTTCTCAGAGGGCAGTTTGAATATATGAAAAATAATGGTTTCATTCACTGTAATTTTAGATTTATACATAAACTGAGACACCAGAGGGTAAAATGGTATGTAGGAAATTATTAAAACACCTGATATACTATTTTCATAAAATTCCTAGTTTTATCTTAGTACCTGTATCTGACAGCCAAACTCTTCAGAGCCTTCAAAAGCCCTCTGAAGGCAACATGCTATATCTTCCCTGAAGTCACAGAGGAATTTGATAGCTCTCTGTCCACAGTTCCATCTCTTTGCAGATTTTATGTTCTCCAAGTTGTGTACTAAAAAAAAGTCTCATCACCAAAGGTAGCATATGATATATGCTTATATATTTATTAGAATAGCCATGTATGTAGGACTTTCTTCAAAAGCTACAGCAATAAAATAACTGCACAATGCTTACATGTGTTCAAATATTTAACAGAGTTTATTTAAAGAAGTTTGCCAGCAAAGATGCAGTTTTAATTAGATACAAAAGTGGGCAATGCAGTTTCAGCTACAGATACATTTCCTAGGCCTGGTCCAGAGAAGACTGTGAAATCCACAGCTGTTGAAACCCTTCAACTCAGGAAAAGCTACCTGGAAGAGACAGGGATGTTGATAAGGAATTTATTGCTCTGTACTCGGAAGCCCAAATGGCTTTGTGTTGATTGAGCAGAGCTTCCAGAAAAAGCAATTCCCTCCTGACAATGTGAGCCTTGCTGGGGACCATCAGATTCCCTTACTGACTTACAAGAAAATCTCCTGCTTCTCTTTTCTCAGTCCCATTACCTGCATAATGCCCAGTTCTAGTCACAAGGCTAGCAGCCACCCCACTGCAGAGGACTGAGCTCTGTCACCTGGCATGCATGGGAGATTAAGGAATCATAAGGATGTGAGATACTGCATAGCATCTTGCAGTTTGGGAGGCCAAAAGTGTATCTCAGCAACAAGTCTCAGATTTACCCAGACTAGCCATAGCTCTGCAATTGCTGACTGTGTATGAGAAAAAAAGCTTATATCTCAAACGCATCAGCAAATTAAAAAAATATAGTTCCCACTCTCCAGAATCATCTAGAGGAAAGAGATAAAACATTTCTCAGACAAGAAAAAGTACATATTCCTCTGTTCCCCGGTGATATTGAGGTCTCCTCTTTTCAAGCCACTTTGGTAAGCTTGATGTCCCCTGAGATCTGCAAAACTTTAACCAAGTTCAGAGGCTGAATGCGGTGAGTGAAGTCACAGAGCTGCCGTCCATCAAGCAGGACTCGTATTTGCTGGTGTTCACATAAGAGCTCCATCTGCAATGGAAAATGACAGGGGAGGGTGTTAGAGGTCAGCAGCAGGGTTGATTTCACCAGCATGGACTTCTCCAGTTGTTATGGGGGGAGTGAAGCACAGAGTCTACCATTTCTTCTGAAATCCCCTAATAAATAACTTACCCTCTGCTGAGATGATACTGCAAAGCTCCTTGCAGGGAGTACTCTCACTAAGATTAGAGAAAGGAATGCATCTCTCCCATCAGGGCTTGAACTGTTGCTGTCTGTGCCATACTAGACTAGTTAACCTGGCAATGTCAGTAGTTAGCTATTTTTGGTCACATAGCCTTCAGCCTTTCTCCCCTCCTTTTCTCTACT